TCAATAAAAGTGAGATGCTTCTGAGGCTCTGGGCTCACTTGGAGAGAGACTAATCTCAGTGAGACCTCTGAAGCTACATTCATCAGGTCTTCTCGTCATTTCTTTCAGCACCAACCCGTAACATACAACAAGTGGCGCCCAACCCGAGGCACGGAAGACGACCAGGGGTGAGTTAAGAGAGACCTGACCGCGTGGGAAATGTATGCCCAGAGTGGGCGAGACCACAGGGAAAAGCTCAGAGTAATGGGGAACTCTGCTTCAGTAGAAAATGAGTATGCCTGTCTTATTTGGATGTTACTCAAAGGAGTGGGGGTAAAGGTGAAGCCAAAGAGTTTCAAGGAATTATTTTCCCTTATAAACAGGCACTGTTACTGGTTTAAGCTTAAGGGAAAGGCTGCTTTAAACTTAAAAATTTGGAAACAAGTTATGAGAACACTTTGTTGTGCTCATCAAAATGGGGAACCAATTCCTCTTCACTTGTGGGCTCTTTGTAATTTAATTTCCTTAGCCTTGGAGCCATTGCAGTCGGACTCAGAAGAGTCTGAGAAATATTTGCAAAGGTCAGCCTCACTTGCTGATATTCTAAGCCTCAAGAGCAGCTTCCACGTAAATATGAATCTGCACATGAGACCTTTTTAAGATCTCTGCCTTCCTCACTCTCAAATGCAGAGGCCAGCATAGCAAAAAGAACAAAAACAGAGCAGGGGGCCTCTGTGGTGCATAATTACAATAAGTTTGCACCCCCTCAAGATCCCCTACAAGAAGGCGCTCTCTGGCATACCAAGAGTGTTGATCCTTTAAATTTCTCCATGCGCTACACTGGGGATGAGTCTGACAAACCAGCTCCTAAAAGGACATTTATGGCATCGCAGACCATCTCCTCAGAATCTGAGGATTTGGAGTATGTAGAACAAAAGGAAACTAAGAATGAGATAAGTGACCTGCCAGCCAAGGTAAGGCAATTATCACAATTGATTTCTAAATTGATTGAAAAAATGGAAGACTCTACCCCTGTACTTCCTCCATCTCAGTTCACAAAAAATCAGCCTCTGCCGCTATCTTTTAACCCTTCTGCTCCTCCATATGAGAAAAAGGAAGGCACCATAAAAGTGTATAGAAGTGTGATATCTCAGGCTCTCATGCAAGGGAGACAGCAGGGAGACCTTGAGGCTTATTCTGTCCCTTTGGGTATTTTTGCTGTGGTGGTTCAACAACACCCCCCAAATGCTCAATTCCTCAGGGCTGTGTACAATGGGAACACCAACCTCTGGCATTCAAGGTTATTAAATATTTGAAGCAGGCTGTCATGGCCTATGGTATGCAATCAACCTATGTGATTGGATTAATACAAGGATTAGCAAATGAACA